TGGTGCCGATTTCCTGGCACATTTCAACCTTTTGGTCGACTTGAATGGCAACCGTCTCCTGGACGACAGTACCAGTTTAACGATATCAGCCATAGCCACAGCTTCCAGCGATCCGACGTGTGTTTTGCCTACTGCTGACAATCCGGACTTTGCCACAATTCTCGCTGAATTTCCTGATGTCATGCGACCGTGCACCCAGCCTGACCGTCCTGTTCAGCATCAGGTGACACATCATATCGTGACTTCTGGCCAGCCAGTGCATGCTAAGCCACGTCACCTGGCACCTGACCGCCTGCGCACAGCCAGAGCTGAATTTCAGCACATGCTAAACTCTGGCATTATTCGTCCGTCCTCGTCGCAATGGTCTACCCCACTCCACATGGTGCCAAAACCGAATGGAGATTGGAGACCATGCGGGGACTACCGTGCTTTAAACAAGGCTACTGTTCCGGACAGATACCCAGTGCCTCATATCCACGATATTACGTCCTCGCTGGAAGGATGCACAGTGTTCACGAAGCTGGACTTGGTGAAGGCATTCTACCAGATACGTGTTGCACCAGAGGACGTCCCCAAGACAGCTGTGACTACCCCATTTGGGTTATTTGAGTTTGTTCGCATGCCATTTGGTTTACGCAATGCGGCTCAAACCTTCCAACGGTTCTTGGATGATGTCCTACGCGGTCTGGATTGTGGCAATGGCTACATGGATTATGTTCTCGTTGCCAGCAGGGACATGGAATCCCACCGAATCCATTGTCGAGCAGTTCTCCAACGCCAATGGTTTGGTCATAAACCCCGCAAAATGTCAGTTTGCAGTCTCAACCGTCACGTTTCTCGGCCACCGTATCACCAGCAGTGGAATCTTCCCTCTGGAACAACGAGTCACTGCCGTGCGTGATTTCAAGCCGCCTTCCTCCGTCAAGCAGTTGCGCCGCTTTGTCGGCATGGTGAACCTTTACGGAAGGTTTATTCCTCACTGTGCCGACCTCATGAAGCCGCTAGATGACCTGCTGCGTGGTAAGAAGAAACATGACACCTCGTTCAGCTGGCCCGACACTGCCGAGCATGCGTTCATAGCTGTGAAGACCGCCCTCTGCAACGCCACTCTTCTCTGCTACCCTGCTCCGGATGCTGCAATCAACATCATGGTGGACGCGTCTGACTTCTGTGTTGGTGCAGGGCTGCAGCAGGAAGTCTCTGGTCAGTGGGAACCAATCGCTTTCTTCTCCAAGAAGCTGCGCCCCGCACAGTGTCGCTATCACACCTTTGGTCGTGAGCTGCTGAGCATCTACCTCGCAATCCGGCGTTTTCAGCATCACTTGGAGGGCCGTTCGTACCATATCCTGACAGACCACAAGCCGCTGACATTTGCTATTAATCTGTCCTCTTCACGTCATTCACCTGGTGGGCTTCGTCAGCTGTCGTACATTGCTGAGTTTACGACCGACATTCGCTACGTGAAAGGCTCGGAGAATACTGTCACCGATGCTCTATCTCGCCCTGACGCCGATGCTGTTAGCCAATAACACGCTGTTGATTTCACCGCTCTTGCCACTGCCCAAGAGACTGATGCTGAGTTGGCTACCTACATGTCGAAGCCCGACTCACCACTCAAGCTCCAGCGCCTTCCAGTGCCCGGCAGTCCCTCACTGCTTGTCTGTGATGTGTCCACTGGTGTAGCTCGCCCATTTGTGCCGCAGAAATTTCGCCAAGATATATTTCTGTCTATTCACAGCCTCAGTCATCCTGGTGTTCGTGCAACCCGACGGCTAGTTTCTGCTCGCTTTTTTTGGCCAGCTATGCAGAAGGATATTGCCACTTGGACCAAGGCCTGCAACTCGTGCCAGCGCGCTAAAGTCCAGCGTCATATCCACTCTGCTATTGGTAGCTTTCCTGTGCCGGATCAGCGTTTTGATTCCGTCCACATCGATCTCGTTGGTCCCCTTCCTTCATGCAACGGCAATCGTTATCTCTTGACGTGCATTGATCGATTCACCCGGTGGCCTGAGGCGTTTCCAATCCCCAATGCCACTGCATCCACTGTTGCGTCTGCCTTAGTGTCAGGCTGGATTGCCAGGTTTGGTGTACCCTCTTCTCTCTTCACGGGTCGTGGTGCTCAATTTGAGTCGGCCCTCTGGAACAGTTTGATGACGCTACTGGGATGCCAGCGCGAACGCACCACCGCCTACCATCCCCTGTGCAATGGTTTAATCGAGCGATTCCATCGGCATGTCAAATCATCACTGCGGACTCTGTCTGATTCAACCCACTGGCTGGAAGCGCTACCGCTTATTCTGCTCAGCATCCGGACATCGACCAAGGCTGATAGCAACTGTTCACCGTCCGAACTAGTTTACGGTTCAACGCTGCGCCTTCCTGGCGAATTCTTCCCGTCTAGTTCCCTGACTCCTGCCAGCGACCGCAGTGATTACGCATCTCGCCTGTCTACCTTCCTGCGGAAGATCCGTCCTCTTCCTGTCCGTACTAGCATGAATCCTGTCTATCTGCCGCGCGATTTGGACACAGCTGCTAAAGTGTATTTGCGCCGTGACGCAGTTCGGCTCCCACTCCAACCGCCGTACGATGGTCCGTTCCCCGTGGTCAAGCGCAGTCGCAAGTACTTCACTCTGCGTGTCAATGGTAAGGACCAGATTGTCTCTGTTGATCGTGTTAAGCCTGCGCATTTGCTTGATAGAATTGCTGCGCTGCGCATCATCCGATTTCCGCTACAGTGTGTCTTACACACTGTACTTCTTTCCTCTAAATTTTGATTTCTTATTGTTCACTTGATTGTTCCCGCACTCGTTCTCTGGGTGGGGAAGACTGTGGCAGTACGACTCTAGACTCGGACCTTGGGCACAGAATTTAACACTTATCATGAAATCGCGTCAGCAACTTTCATTTCCCTTTTCGCATGCAGGTTTCTTATTCATCATGGGTGTACATTTGGTTTGCATGACCTCAGATTGACTTGTACACATTTCCCATACGGTAGAGCTTATTTACACACTCCCGTATTCGTATACGTCTCCCAGGTTTAGTGTACATGTACTTGCTCATAATTATACGTCCCTGTGCGGACCGTACCGTATCTACGAATTTCCATAAACGCATTTGTCTCTCCTTGTTGCTTTTTTCTTCTCTTGCTTTTTTCTTCTCTCTCTTTCTCTTTCTCATTGCTCTTTTCCTTTGGCATTCATACTGTTTGGTAACACTTTTCTTGCTCCTCAATAAATAATAAATAATACAGTGCAAATCTATCGAGCACGCCAAACATGTGTCGATGTTTGGGAAGTGCGGGTACGGTTGGTAGAGTGTGCGTTGGGGGGAGTACGAGTCCGAGTGACGGTTTTCCTCACCCCAGCCCCTGTACTTCATGAACTAGCTACACTACTGTACGTTGTACTCGGGGTTGTAGATTGTGCAATCAGGTTTGGACTCCCGCCTTCCTCAAGGTGTATCATCTTCGCCACGAGGCCATCAATGGTTCCTTTCATTTCTCTAACTTCCCTATCCCTGTCCTCCCTGAGGGAGATCATTTCCACAGTTAATGCAGTGATAGTCGAGGACAGTGCACTGATTGAGCTCACTAGCGCTGGCATACCTGATTTGCCGATGTCCATGGCGCGAAGTTGAAGTACAGGGTCCGGTCGGGCCAACGAGTCCACACCTGCAAGTCCTGACTTTTTGGCCAAGTCACGAATCTCCCCATCCAGCAGCAAGGCCAGGTCCATATTTGAGTTCTCCACCATATTAGGGCTGGGACTAGTTCCAGGTCCACCTATACTTACAAAAGTGGCCGAAAGGCTATTCCATAGATGGAAAGGCAGGAGCTAAAAACTTGCTTCCTACTCCTACGACTTTTATCATTACACACCGCGTCCTTAGCGGTGAAAGGGTTAATGCCGCAAAACATATTTATGTAAAGAAAAAAGGACGTTTAACCCTCATGCCTTGTTGACTTTAGGGATTATGGCTGTAGTCTGTAGAAGAACATTTTCTTGTAGGGCCTCATACTTCAGTGGATGTCATCCATGTATTCGGTGACCATGGAGATAATTACCAAATATAAAAAATACTATCGCAATTGTTGCACTTACCTGTATTCTATGTTACTGCGGCCCACTTGGACCCTGCCCGCATTTTCCGTAACAAAAGTGAAATCCATCAAAAACCTCTAAAAAAAATGTTATCGTGTCCATTCCCGAAGGGAACTCACGATGGCCGCTATCAGCCGATAAACTCTTGCGGCAGATGCAGAGCCTAATGGTGGGGGTGAGTGGATAAGTCTCACAACCTCTAGAGCAGACTATAATTTATCTCGGTTATAGTGTTGTTGAGGAAGACATGAAGTTTCAAGGAGATATGATTGCAGTGAAATAAAAATATTACAAAGACCATACATACCCCTGGGGTCCGTTTGGAACCCAATACCCGGAATTAGGGTTAAGCTACGAGTTATGACTGAAAGTCAATAAAGATAAAATACTAATGCACAGTCAGATAATGCGACAACAAGGTACAAACTGACAGGTTACTGAGACATTCGACGGTCTAACAACTATAATGTACAATGTAGCTACTGATATGTCTACAGTTAGCAAGAAGACATTTATTATAAAACAAATCTGAAGAGAAGGAAAACACAACTGAAGAGGCAAAACACATGAAGCACGGAAGTATCTCCCAAGCCAAGCAAGCATGCCGTTATGGTGCGAGGTCATACAACTGTGGTACAAATCTAGTACGGGAGTACATGAACTACAGGTCAAATATGGCATGGGGGAATCCATATACATCACGCCCCTTCGAGATAATGCTGAGAAAACAAATCCAGTATTATCTATCAAATCAAATCAAAACAAGAAAAGAACAAGTATGGCAAACAACGGCCCATAGCACACAGCGGAACAGACATAGCATGCCACACAAGGATACAGAAAGATACGATATAAGAACAATCCTCAAGAACATGTACACGATGTGTCCAGACCAAATCAAGATGCATAAGATTGTCCACGGGTGGAGGAAATGTTCAAACGAGAGGGTGGTTGGTGCGCTCGTGTGCTGCGACGCAGAGGAGGAGGCGTAGCAGGAGCAACGACAACAGACGGCTGTGGTGAAACACATGGTGCTGGTGACGGCACGGGTGGAGAGAACGGACGAAGAAAACGGCGATTTCTCCAATAAACTCGACCACTAGCCAACTTGACGAAATAGTCACGGTGCTGCCCAATGGCCACAATCACGCCACGGGTTGTCCAACGCTTCGTCTTCGGATCCTGGACGTCCACAGGAGTGCCGATACGGAGAACGGGAAGAGAGCGGTGGGTGGGAGTACTGGCGGAAACAGGTGTCGAGGGTGGTGACTGTTCTTCACGCTCACTAGCGACGGTCGACCACGAGGAATCAAACTGCGTCCACTCAGCAATGACGAAAGACCGAAGTGGATGCCCGAGAAGATGCTCAGCTGGGCTCTTGCCAGACGGACCGGGCGTATTCCGCCACTCCAGTAGACCACGACGAAATGCATCTGTGTCGAGATTGCCATTTGACGAGGTCTTGAGCAGCAAGCGCTTCATGGCTTTCACTGCGGCTTCCGCATGTCCATTACTCTGGGGATAATGCGGGGAAGAGGATACGCGTTGCACTTGCCAACGGCCACAGAAGTCGGCAAACTTCTTCGATGCAAACTGGGGGCCACCGTCGGTGCACAGTACAGCAGGCACACCCAGATCGGCAAACCAACGACGACAAGCGAGAATGACATCGTGTGATGATGTGGTCCTGCCGGTTCGAACAACGCACGGCCAACCAGTCAGACGGTCGACATAAACAAGAAACTCATAGCCTTGGCAAGAGAACAAATCAGCGGACACAAACTCGAACGGCAGAGTAGGATGACGGTCATTCATCGGTGGTTCGGCTGACTGCGACGACTGGAATTATCGACACGCGGAACAGGCACGGACAAGGGTGTCTATGTCGGCGGTGAGACCAGGCCAGTACACGAGCTGTCGGGCGCGAGCCTTAGTGCGGACGAGACCTTGATGCGAGGCATGAAGGTTAGCAAGAACGCGTTGACGCATAGCCAAGGGAACTAGAATGCGTTGGCCTTTCATGACGATGCCCTGGTCCACTGACAGGTGTTCACGTCCATTCCAGAAGGGTTGGAGTGGAGCATCCAAATCACGCTGACGAGCAGGAAAACCATGCAGAACGCACTGGACAAGAGACTGATAGACTGGATCAGCTGAGGCGGCTGCTCGAAGTTCAGCAAACTTCAGGTTGGGGTGAGGACCATCGTCACGGAGCATGCACACACGGATGCTGCGGCAATGAAGAGCAGGGGCTTCGCCGAGTTCATCATCTGAAGACGGGATGCCGACGGGATTGCGAGACAGCGCATCAGCAAACGCGTGATCAGAGCCTTTTCGCCAGGAAGCGTGCACTTGAAACGATTGCAGCTTCAGGCGAAGACGAAGAAGGCGAGGATTCTCGATCTGATCTAGAGAATACGCGTTGATAATCGGGATCAACGGACGGTGATCAGTGATCAGATCAAATAGGGTGCCGGATAAGTACAACTTGCACTTATGCACAGCCCAAACGACGGCGAGCATCTCGAGCTCAACAACAGCATAGCGAGATTCGGCGTCAGAGAGGTAGCGGGAGCCACACTGGATGATTCGCCACTTATCATCCTGCTTCTGCCACAGAACGAAGCCGAGACCACGTAGTGCAGAGGCATCAGTCTCCAGACGGAGATCGTGTCCATGCTGGTAGAAGGCCAGGATAGGAGGAGACAGCAGAGTAGACTTGGTCTTCTCGAACGCAACAGTGTGGTTGGCATCCCAGACAAATTCACGGGTCGTCTTCAACAGACCACGAAGCGGAGTGGTGCAGGCGGCGAGGTGTGGTGAGAACTCGCTACACTGGTTCACCTGGCCAAGAAACGAACGCAAATCAGTGCGGTTCGCAGGAATGTCAAAATCGCGAATAGCCGCTGCCTTGTCATCGTCAACAACCCAGCCGTCTGGACTGACAATGTAGCCGCAGAAATGGATGTGACGTGACGCAAAGGTGAATTTGGACGGCCTCAGAGTAATGCCATGCTGTCGAGCACACAGCAGGATGTCACGAACATGGGTGACATGGGAGGCAAAGTCGTCATCATAGGCCAGGCAATCATCTACAACCTTGGCGAAATTCGGGATTGCATCGAACGCAGCATCAGTGCGGCAGTTGAAAACATCCCCGGCGGAAATCAGGCCTTGAGGGTTGCGTAGGAAACGATACCTGCCGTATGGGGTGATGAATGTGGTCATTGGACATGCCTGCTCACTCAGTGGGATTTGCCAGTATCCGTGCCTTGCATCAAGCTTGGCGAGGAACTGTGCCGATCCAATACCAGAAACCACATCGCGAGCGGTGCGAACAGGGTGGGCTGGTCTCAGGACTTGGTCATTCAGTCGTTTGAAATCGACGGTGAGGCGTTTCTCGGAGGTACCTTTCTTGTCGACGAGCACAATTGGGTGACACCATTCACTAGGCTCACTGACAGGCTCGATTATGCCATCGACAACCATTGTGTCCAGTTGTGACTTGACCTGGTCACGAAACGCGTACGGAATCGGGCGTGCGGTATGGACACATGACGGCTTAGCATCTGGCTGAAGTTGGATGTCCATCGGAGGACCTGCCATCGCCTTCAAGCCAGTGTCGGAAAACACGTCCGAGAACTCCTGCAGTAGCTCATCGCGAACACGAGCGATATCAGCAGAGCTAGGATTGACAACAGACTTTGATACAGCACGGATCTTAGGTGGCGCGGCAGCATTAGCAGCAGGGTACTGTGCAGGCCAATCTGACGGGAGGAGCTGGAGTGCACTCAAGGACGAACGTGATAGAAGAGTATCGTCCAGACCCTTGTACACGTGGATTACGGTGCTGTGTTGTACTTCACCAACCTGAAGTGAAGCACGAATACTGCCGACGTTCTGCAACTGCTCTCCAGATGCCGCTAGGACGCACTCTGGGTCATGGTCGAGGTTCTCGGGGAACCCGCCAAGCAGTTCGAGATGATGCTCGCCAATGGCATCGACGTCACTGCCAGTATCAGGGACCCAGGGTAGCGTGACTGCCTCATCCTCAGTGGCTAAACGGGTGGACACACGCACAGTAGGCTGCGCAGCAAGACGAGTACGCTGCAACTTCAGTTGGCCCACATGCTTCACGTTCCGGTCCGATTGTAACGACGACCTACACATAGCGAGAAAGTGACCAGTCTTGCCACAGCCATTACATTTCTTGCCGCTGGCAGGGCAACTAGACTTTGTGTGCGGGCTCCGGCCGCAATTGGGGCACTTCTTGTGTGTGTCGCTTCCTGACAAGGGAGCGGATGCAGATGGCAATACAGGTGCAGACATCTTGCTGCCAGGTTGTCCCTGTCGGGATTGTTGCTTACTGCGTTGGTACGCGGACCGCCGCACAGCATTGAGCTGGCTGGTGGACGGGATACTGCTGCTCGTCGTGGTAGCCGCTTCCTCCGCCCGGCAAATTGTGACTGCATCGTTCAGGGTCAAGTCCTTGGCAGACAATAGCTTGTGCCGGGTAGCGTCGTCACCAATTCCAATGACAATCCTGTCACGCAGGGTGTCAGCACGCACACGTGTCAGGCTTGTGCGACAGGTACTACTTGTGTGTGCTGAACATTGTGAGCACAAAACAACGTCCGGAAAATCACAGCTAGTGTGTAATTCTTTCAACGAAGTGTAAAAAGAATCGAAAGACTCGCCTTTCGACTGACACCTGTCGTAAAATGCGATACGATCCAGGAGTGGGTTGCGCTGCCGTCGCAAATATTCCTTGACAGCAGAAATCACGTCGTCCGCATCGGGATTCGGTGGAGTCACGATTATACCCTCGCGGAGAAATCTGCGTAGCTCCTCATCTAGAGCTTGCCGCAGCGATGACACTCTGGTCTCACGGCTCTGGGCTGACAGGTGCTGGCACTCATAATAGTCTCGCCACATTTCCTGCCATGCCGTGAAGTCGGCTAATGTCGAGGACGACAGTAAAATCGGTCGCTCCGCAGAGACAGGCTTTGGAGCTGGTGATGTGGTGCTGGGTTGCACGGGTTGTTGTGTTGGTTGTGTCAGTCGTTGTATAGTTTGTTGGAACAGGTCAGCCATTTTACGTTCCCTCTCCTCTGAGGACTTCATTTGTGCCGCCAACATCGCGGTCAGGGCAACAATGTCAGGAGCAGGGTCTGAGTCGGACATCGTGGTCGCAACCTAAGCAAATGCTAGTATCACGAACAAACTACAAAAAAATCGGCCAGTGCGCAACACAACGAGGTGCAAACACAAAGCACGAGAAACTAAACACACAGGTGAGTTCTACAAGGAACGAACAGTTCACTGCGCCATGATATGTCTACAGTTAGCAAGAAGACATTTATTATAAAACAAATCTGAAGAGAAGGAAAACACAACTGAAGAGGCAAAACACATGAAGCACGGAAGTATCTCCCAAGCCAAGCAAGCATGCCGTTATGGTGCGAGGTCATACAACTGTGGTACAAATCTAGTACGGGAGTACATGAACTACAGGTCAAATATGGCATGGGGGAATCCATATACATCAGCTACCACATATCTACGAAGCGCAAGCCAACAAGTAGTAGTAGTAGCAGTATTTGTTATTTTATTCAGTACCTCCGGCATGTGCGGTAAAGAGACGACATTAGATATCCTAAGCTAAAAATATGCTAACGTAAACGCAAACCTTTCCGTACTTCGGATCGTTCAAGCTAACTTTTCCCATAGGGCGCGCTCACACTGCGACCATGAGCACGCGTCCATGCGTCAGAAAAAAACGCAGAAACGTGGGAGTGGTGCTCACCCTAGGCCTCGTACACGCGTAGACGTGAAGTTGTCACACAAACTTTACGAATTGCAGTTCGTATCCAAAAGAGTTCGTGCGTTTCCTAATAAAGTTGTGGCCCGTTTTGGATGTAATTTTTCGCATGTTGCATATGCGCATGTTGGAGAAATTGCTTCGTGGCTCGTATTCTTGAAGTCGACGAAAATAATTCATACAATCAGGTAGGTTTGGACTCTTGAGGGATTGCCATGCCGCTGACATCCAAGCGCTTTCGCTTTCCTGACCTCGTGTTCAGAGCAAGTGCCAGTGCAGTGGAAATTCCGGTAGTGGTTTCTTTCGTCTGGTGCCGAGATGAGAACTGTATTTTCCGATGATATGTAACTGAAATGTCTTGAGGTACGGCATTCCTTCATCGCAGAAAAGTAGAGAAAGATGATTTCCGAAACCGAAAAGCCAGACCAAGCTGCCATCATATTAAACGAGTACACTGTAGAAATTGGTCACTGACCCGATCACAACGAAGCAACTATAAAAACAATAACAAAATCGACATCGTCCAAAAAGGGCAAAGAATGGCGGTGCGTGCGTGCAGGACCACAACTACAATTTTTTAAAAATGTGCAAGTGTCGGGGTGACATCGACAACCACCGATTTTCATGAATCAACACACCGGAATTTGAGAAATTGAACATACTTCAGGCCAGGTTGTACACAAATACGCTTCACGTCTACGATCATGTTGCCGCCAAGTCGTGGCACCCCCTCCGGAGGTCGCGGTCACGATTTGAAACGTGGCCGCGACCTTTTGGTCAAGTTCATGCCGTTGCCATGCAACTTGGCCGCATGGCCGCATGGACGCTGGTTTTGGTCGCAGTGTGAGCGCGCCCTTAGCACAAAGTACGTTATAGTTGAGACGAAGTAGTCGTGACAACCATGGCGTTATGAATTTTCGTGGAAACAGATACGGGAAATTCAAAATTTTGAACCAGGGATTAGTTTGCTGTCGTTCCGAAAGAATACCTTGGC